TAATTTATTGTCTATTATTTGTTCGTGTTTGTTTATTGTTTTTGCCTTAATTCAAATTGCAAATGCAAATACGAATGCAATTTATGTAAAACGCAACGCCAGCCGCAGCGCATATGCAATTGCCAATTGCGCGCCAATTTGTTCTTATGTTTATTTTCCTTTTATCGATTACCTTAAGGCGTATTTCAAAACATTTCGTTTATATTCATATTTAAATATGCTTTTATACTTTTATTAAATATTTGTTGTTTCACACACAAAAATCGCGCGATAACAAAGCTTAGATCAAGCTGTTGCAGGCAGCGCGGGGGGTTCAGTTCTCTCCCTCTATATATGTATATATATATATGTATTTATATATAAATAAATGATTTACGAGCTTTGTAATTATGCTGTTTTTGTAGTATAATTAAATTTTATATGTTTTTTTTTTTTTTGTATAATAAATTTTCCTTTTGTCAAGCGATCAGCGACATGCGACGTAGAAACGCGCGCGAATTTTTTTCCCAACAACCTGGCAAACTTTTCCTGGCTGCGCAGGCAATTTTCTTAGCTCAGTTCCACTCGGCTCAGCGCTTTTCCGCAACTCTCTGACCGTTCGCCGGCGCTGTTAAACGAGAACTGAACGGCCCAGCGCCGTCCGAATCGCAGGCAACGAATGCCGCGACTCGGGAGAGCCGCAGCTGTGAAACACGAACCGAGAGCAGCGACACGAGCCCCGAAAAACGAGTCGTACCCGAAGTCCAGCCCTTGTTGTTGTTGCTCTTCTACTTGTTGTTGTTGCCGTTGTTGTTAACAGCAACAGACGCTGCGGATTGGTTTTTCATCTGTTTGGGGGGCTCGAACCGTTAACTGGTGCTCAGCAATTGGTTTGGGGTCAAGTTGAACTGAGGATGCCATAGTAACGAGTATTGGCCATAGTGTGCTACCATTCCGTTGGGCATATCTTCAGTTTTCCTTATAGCTATATTATATTAAATAGTATATCATTTGAGATTATACTTTATATGATTCAATAGATCATTTGAAGTTGCTGTGGTTTGTTTTTTTATTCCCATCTATCCTTAGACAAGAAAAATAACTTAATATTAACTACATTATTTAATTGATTGTCTTGTCTATCTCTGTCAGTTTTTTAGTTCGAATCTTAAACCAAATTAAAAGGCTCATCCTTAACTATTGTTACCTTATAATAATAATAAATTCCAAGTAGCCTTTTTTCAGTTAAACCATAAAAGTCCTATTCGATCCCTTTATTGTTCTCAGCTTGCACTTTAATTATTGTTACAAAATCGTGATTTATTTTATTTAAGAAACCCCGATAATATTTCATTTAATATGTGCCTCTTTATCAAAAGCATTTTGGCATTATTTTACTCAGACTAAACATGCATTAGCTCGCCATCGACATACCTTACAAAAATATAATATTTTGTTTAAAATTTAATTGCTGTTCTTTGGTTATTTAAGCCCTAGTATTTATTTTCCTTTAATTTTGGCTGCTGCTCGAATTGCCCGATATTTTGCAGCAATTGAAATATAATTTTCAACAATTGTGCGCATTCCGCAGAGTGCAAATGAACACCTTGTTAACAGGTGCTGAGGCACAGGTGAATGGCTCATTTGGCCCCGTCCCCGTGCCCGCCCTTAAACAAACCGAGCTAATAATGTTATCTCAATTCTCAATTACATGCGCTTCTCAGAATTCTGCGCTGCAAATTAGAATTTGTCAACTGGCATTTTAATATGCCACAAACATTGTTTTCTTTGCTCCGATATTGCGTTGGCAAAGGGAAATACCATAGGAAATACCTAACCAAAAAATAATCATCAGCGGAGATAACTGCGGCACTTTTATGAATGGAACGCAAAATATGTAAAGGCAATTGAAGTTTATCTATAAAGAAATTTTATTCCTTATGCTCACAGATAAGATTCAAGTACCAGAAAGTGTGTCACGTGAAGTATGCTAGTTTAACATGCACATGACATTCACTTATAATTCCCAAATTGTTTAGGCGTGCATTTGTATGCAGAGCCTAGTTTCTTACAAGCCAAATAGACTTTCATTATTAAACTTGTTTTCTTTTCCTTTCTTGCAGATCCCTGGAGAAAGAAGATTCACGAAGTGGTAAGTAAATAATTAGTAATATTAAAAATATAAACAGTTGTGTTAAGCTCAAGGAAAATGTTGCTGTGACTTTTCTCGAATGACTTGGACCAAACAAATTGTAAATGCCATTTACAAGTCGCATAACATTTGAAATCATGCATTAACTAAATGCAACAGCACATGCATTACAATCACAACAACAACAACAACAGCAGCAACTGTATTTACAGTTAAATACAGCGACTAGCACTTAGCCGCACTTGTTCAAAAGCCACAAATCTTTTATGGCATTTGTTTCAAATGCGATAATAACACTTAAGTTGCTAAATTGTTGGCTTAAACGCAAATTAAAGACAACTTTTGACTGAGCCAGTGGCAAGGGGTAGAGGGGTAGGCAGGTGTTTGGCCTGGGCATAATTTATACTTAGCCAAACGCCAAATCAAATTGGCGAGCATTTGACATTTATGCTGAGAGCTGAGACTTGAGACTTGAGAGCTGCAGCTGAAGCTGAGGAAAAGCGTCGGCAACGTAATCAAATGCCATGGAAAATGCAGTCACAAGGAAGGTAAGGGTAGAGGGGGGTGGATGCGGTTGGGGGCCAGGCAGCAAGAGATGATTTATGCACTCATTGTATAAGATTAGGTAGACATAGGCATAGACCCAGACCAGACCAGGCCGGGCCAAGCCAGACTTCGGCGCATGGAAAACTTAGCAGTTATCACGAATGCAGTTGCCAGTTGCCAGCTGCCAGTTGGCTTTTGGTTTTCCCAGGCGCACATTTTGTCACAAGCGGTTGCCATTATTTATGAGACTACCAAAAGAGAACTTGCAGCCAGCTAACAATTTGCAAATGCCGCTGCCTCGCATGCAACCACATGCTTGTGGTTCGGCATCATGTGGCAAGCCCTGACGCAGTCTATGATTTACTTTTGAAAATTCAATAATTGCGCTTCATTAAATTACTTGTATTTGTATAGAGTTCATTTTGCTATCTGTTTTAGCTATGTGTGCGTGTGTGTGTGTGTGTGTTATTGTAAACAATTTTAAAAGCAATTTGGCATAAACGTCATTGGCAGCCCGTAGCCGGGCCGGCCATAAAGGGGGGCGTTTCGCCTGCCTCGACCAGGCGAGCCACAATTTTCCACGCCACTTGAGCGTAATTAGCCGTTGAGCTTCTAAGCGCTATGCAAATAGCACAAGTAGTACGCCAACCCCACCAACCCCCAGCCCCCTAACCCGAATGCCAACCCCTAGCCCCTTCTTGGTTTTGGTTTCGTTGTGATTGCGTCTTTTATGGTGGAGCCAGCGCTCTCCAATCTTCTGGCTCTTCGTGTCTATATATAAAACAGTTTTTCGATGCTATTTTCATAATTGTAAATATTTGCAATTTGCCATTATTTGCCGGGCTTAACTTTGTAGCTGGCAGAGGTGTGTGTGCTTAGCAATTTGTGTGTTGTCTGCTTGCGTTTTATATTTTATATTTTTAGCTGAAATACAGCTGCGGCCGGCCTCAGGTTAGGCTCGAGCCTAATCTTAAGGCAAATAGGCACAAAACACCCACCAAATACAAATACGACGCATAGTTCTCGCGGCACCAAGTGCGTAGCTCTTGGGCATTTTCCATAAGGTCGCCGCCGCCGCAGACAGCGCAGAAAAAAAAGAAGCAGTAGAAGAAACCTGCAAACAAGCTGCTCAAATTTCTAATGGCCATTGGCAAAGTTCATTTGCCTGCAGTTGCAAAAAAAAACAAAAAATACAAAATACAAAAGATACTGCAGTAAACGATACCATTATTAGATTGGAGCCGAGCACTTGTCCCAACAAAGGCAACCGCTAGCTACTCCCAGCTCGGCGAAAAGTACCCACTACTGCGTCTGCCTGTCAGACGGAGATCAAAGCGCCTCTTGTTTACACAGGCGGCAATAGTCTCATGCTGTAATTACATAGATGTACGACAACAACAACGACAACAAACACAACAATAGTCACAGCTAATAGCCACATATAACAACAGACTTGCAACTGGCTGTCAAGTTGGCTAATTGAAACTGGACACATGCTGAGACGCAGACAGAAGGGGCTGCTGGGCAACTGGAGAGTGGAGCAGACAGAAGGAGTGGGAGAGAGAGAGAGAGATAGAGGGAGCGGGCGGGAGTATGGGCGTGGCTGTGTAAGTAAACAACACATGATTGTTAGCACAATAGCCACAATAAGCCACAATAAGCCACCCACCGTGCGTATGAGCAATATGCTACAGTTTGACAGCCACTGACTCGGCAACTGTAACTGTGGCATACATACATTTTGCATGCGATGCTGTTTATTTTATTTATTTGTTTCTTTTTTTTTTTTTTTTTGCTTTCATTGAACATATTTTGGTCTTGCTTTTGCTTTCTGAAGTCGCGAATCTGCCTTAATTGAGTGCCTAATTAAAAGGCATTGAATTACACGCGACCCCAAACATTGGCCATGGCAATTAAATCGAACAAGCGACGCATTTTCAGGCATCTTGTTGTTGTTGTTTTTCTGTTTTCTTCATTTCGTGCCGTTGTCGATGCAATGTTGCTGATTATTTCGGAAATGCCAATCAGATGAAAGGCCCACAGAACGTACATACAGCATGCGCAATCGCAATCGCGACTCGCAGCTCGCTTTGCCCCTATCCCGGGCCACAGTCGCCGCCATCTGCGTTGATTACAGCCAGTCTGCACGGAGTCTGCGTCAGTGAGTCGTTGTCGACTAAGCTCTTCATGTTGAAAGCGATCAAAGTACAAGTTTGCCCAATTATTTTTGTTGTCCTTGCCGCTTGTTGCTATCCCCAAATCATCATCAGCGACATTATTGAAAGTTGCCAGCACAATTCAGGTTTAAGTTTAGCGTTGCTTTTGCCAACAATTTGTTTATATATACATGTTTCTATTACATTTGTAAACTTATGTTTAGTTAAAAATACAACAATTCTTGAAGCTAATAGTCTAGATTTATAACTACAATTGGTAAATATATTCTAGTTCAACAGTCGTTGCTTAGTTTAGGCTGATCTTCAGCTATGACCAAAGGCTCTGGCATAGCTAAACCAGCATTCCCTAATTTCATTGCTGCATGCAATAAAGTTGATTGCAATAGCGATACGTCGTATTATCGCTGCGCACAATGCTGATCCCAGCTCCATAGTAAGCTGAAAGAGAAGTAAGATAAATCGAATGTACAATCTTGGCAACTATTTGTGTACACATACGTATAACGTAGGCAGATCCATCTGCAGGTCCAACCACCTGTAGCGCAATCAGTATTATGTCTATCAGCTGGCCCAGAAACATGCCGCCCAGCGTGCACAGCTTGAGCAGACCGATGCCTGGATAGCCCAAATAGAAACGATCCACACCGAACATGCCCAGGAACACCGACAGCAATAAGGTTGTGTCCAAGTGGTAGCCATTGCTGCAGTAAAAACAAATCAAACTTTAGCCGGCAAGCAATTGGAAGATGTTCCTACTTACGTCCACTTGCAGGGCATCTCCCGCGTGAAGGTGGAGTTGCCCGTTTCGGTGCAGTTGATCTCATTGGCCGCTATGCACCAGACGCGCGCTCGGTTCTGCTTGGTGCAGCCGCGCAGCTGCTGTGTCTTGGGATCTATGTGATTCTTGGCGGGATCGGGGCACATAAATTGCCCCATTAGCAGCTCGCTGCAGTCCACAGTGACGGGTTCTGTTTCTGCCACACTGAAGAGCAGCAGCAGCGACAATATGCACCACAACATTTTGAATTTTTGTATATATATCTATGGTATTGCAATGTTTAAGCAACTACGCTTATAATTTTGCATAGAACTTTTGTTTTGTTTGTGTTCGCTCTTCTTCTTGTTTTTACTTTGCGGTGGTCGGTCGATAAATAGAGTGTTGCAAAACGACATACTGGCAGACCGTTTAGATACATTTTCAACAGATGGCGCTAGCGTAAAATGCGCCAAAATAACTTGTGAAATAAAAACTAATTTGTTCTTATTGAAACAGTCCCGCCTGTTTATTAAATATATATTTCTTGCAATTCAACAACACGCGCACCTCCTTGGCATGCTCCGATTTGAGTTGATCTAATGTCGCACTCGATATGCCATCACGGAACACAATGCACACCTTGGAAGTCTGTCCGAAAGTGCGCTCAATGCAGCCCGTTTCGCCCGTGGAGAGCTGCACCCGCTTGCCCACGTACATGTCGCGATTGGCTTCCTTCTTGAAGAGATTCTGTACGATGATCTCGTTGTCGCTGACCACACGCTGCACATGGCCCTGCTTCTCCTTGCGCTTGAATACGCGCAGCTGGGGCAGCTCCTCGCTCTGATAGTTGACGCTGTGCGTCTGCCAGGCGATGCGACCCCAGAAGGCCAGGCGGCAGCTGCTGCTGTGCACATCCATGTCCAGCTTGGAGGCAATCAGCGTGCCGCCCAATGTGCTCAGCACGGGCGTCTCGAACTGCAGCAGCGCAAAGCAACAATCGCTGGAGGTTGACTCCGCCGGCAGCAGTTGCTCCACGTACGCGTATTCCCTGCTGCAGTCAAAGTCCGGGCAGGCGGCCTCGTCCCGGAACAGCGTGAGGCTGGCCATGACCGTGTCGTGGCCCACGCTGATGTGCACCTTGCTCCTCGAGCGGATCCCCTGCTTGTAGTAGCGTATTGGCTGGACTCGCACGCACACGGCGTAAACGGATCTCAGATAGCCCGGCTGGGCAACGATGCCGCGTTCCATCAGCTTGGCATTGAATTGGGTCACACAGAGTCCAATGCGATCGCCAGCCCGGGCGCTCTGCACCGGCTGTCGGAACATCTGTATGGACTTGACCTTGCGCCGTTCGCCCAGCAGCGGCAGCTCCACATTCTCGTTGACGGCGACGCATCCCTGGAGCAGCGTGCCCGTGCAGACGGTGCCCTGGCCCCTGATGGCAAAGCAATGGTCCACATACATCAGCAGCGGTGCATCCACTTGGCGCTGCGGCATCTGGTAGGCGGCGCTCAGGCCGGCACGCAGCTCCTCGATGTTTGTGCCCTCCAGCGCGGACACGCTGTAGATGGGCACCTGGTCGCCGAAGCTTGTGCCCGCCAGTGTCTTGCGCAGCCTGCTGCGCAGCTTCTCCAGCTTGGCTGCGCGCTGTTCCGGCGGCAGCGCGTCGATTTTGTTGATGACCACCAGCAGCTTCTTGTCGAGCAGCTCGCCAATGACCAGACACTCCGCCGTCTGCGTTTGCAGGCCCTTCTGTGCGTCCACCACGAGCAGCATCAGGTCGATGATCTGTGCGCCTGCAAACATGAGATGCTTCAGCTCTAATCTCGTGCCGGCAACTGCTCACCACCCACCTCCAATGATGGTGCGTATGAGGGATGCATGTCCTGGACAGTCCACGAATGTGAACTGCATTTGTTGTCCATCGTTCTGCTCAGCGGGGGATTCCAAGACAAGTGCACTAAAGCCCAAATCGAGTGTTATTCCACGTTCCACAGACTGCGGATTCTTGTCAAAGGCCGCCGTGCTGGATATGGAGCTCAACGCACGCGCCAATGTTGTTTTGCCGCTGTCCACATGCCCCAGGATCCCGACATTGAAGTTTGTTGCCATTGTTTACAAATGAGACAGGTAAGTCCCACGCACGTCACAATCGTATGTTGTTTCATGCAAGTTGACTCGTGTCTGGGTCAGCGCGCACATATCGATAGATTACGTGTGCGGTGCGCTACAGGAAATTATCGCCAGATGGCGTATGCAGTGCAACGGTAAATAATATTAATAGCAAGCTGCTGCATGCAATATATACTTAATAATCTAAACATAAAAATGAATTGGGAAAGTGATTAAGGAAAACAAGTGGAATTTATTAAAACTGCGCATTTTGTTTATTAACATAAAGCGCAACCTACCTCAATGAAGTATTAATACAAATGTGTGCATGCATGTGTTAATATTTTAAACCATTTTGAGCACAAAGCTCAGACTGCTCGGACTTATACATTGAGTATAAGACTTTATCGCACTCAACTCCATGGATGAAGCGTATAAGAGAGAAACAAATCTGTGCAATTTTGCATTTAAGTTGAATTCACTTCGCCGCAAGTTCAGTTCTGATCGACAGCTGGTGTCGAGCGGTTGTACCTATTGGAAGGCCTATTGGAAGTGAATCCTTAAAATGTCATCAAAAAGCAATATACCTAAAACCGTGAATCCCGATCTGCAAAAGGAACGAGACGGAGCCAGTTTCAGCAGCGAAGAATTTGCGATCTGGTGGGCCGGCGGGGCAGAGAAACTCAAGTTCAGTAGAAGCGTCAGTAAGTTAAGGTTCTATCTATGTTATATTAAGGGAATTGCTCAAAGCCGAAGCAAAAGCATGTTAAATTCAATCCCAGCGCAGACTAATTGCAAAGGCTTTAAGTACAATCGGATATGATATGATGATAATCTTGCTTTGGATACAAAGGAGGATGCTGAGAATACTCAAATTGTTTTCAAATATTTGACTACATAGATGCCGAAATGCTATAAACCCGAAGTATGATCGAAAACTAATTTCTTTGCCATTCTCCATGCTCGTAAACTTTGACTTTGAATAAATCAAATAAGTCTTGAACTTGAACCATTTTCCCATATACCTACATATACATATCTTCAGACGATCTCTCTCTTGGTTAGTTTTTACAGTTATAGAAATATAAGGAAATTTTCTCTTGCACCATCAACTCACAACTATTCTCTTTCACAGGAGAGTACATGTACAAGGATTTCGACTATGATGAGTACGCTCAAGTGTTTTACATGTCGCATGAGGATATTTGTGAATTCGCCGTCAAAAGCAGCATTAACGTGGCGAAAAAGCTGCGCCAGCTGCAGTCGGAGCGAAATCCCGGCGGCAACGAATATTGGCCGTAAGTAAATGTTTACTCATATGTTAATTTTATCTTAATCTCTCTTAATATGCTGCAGCACTCTCTTTGAGGAGCCGGAAATATGGGGCCTGCACCTGGCGGGCAATCCTTTCCACGTGATGTTTATAGTCGTGCTGCGTGCCTTGAGGACTCAGTGCACACCCGAGCAGTACGAGGAGTTTGGCGCACGTGTGGAACGCTTCGAAGTGACCGCCGCCTATGCCCAGACGGAGCTGGGCCACAGCAGCCATTTGCGTGGCCTGGAGACACGCGCCGATTACGATCGTGCCACGGATGAGTTTGTCCTGAATACGCCGACCATTGCATCCTACAAGTGGTGGCCCGGCGGCTGTGAGTGCAATTTGAAGCGGGTTAATATGTTTGTTAAACCTCTAATCCTAATGTTCTTGCAGTGGGTCACTGTTCCAACTATGCAATGGTCATGGCGCAGCTGTATATCGATGATCAGATCAAGGGACTTCATCTGTTCTACGTGCAGGTGCGTGAGGAGGACACACACGAGCCCAGGCCAGGCATACACATTGGCGAGCTGGGCAAGAAAATGGGCTTCCTGGGCGTCAACAATGGTTTCCTGGGCATGAAGAACGTGCGCATCCCACGCACCCGTATGCTAATGCGCCACGCCCAGGTGCATCGCGATGGCAGCTACGTAAAGAGCCCAGTGGATTCACTCACCTACTTTGCAATGCTGGCCACACGTTGCATTGTGGCCCGCAACACGGCCTTGTCGCTGGCCACGGCGGCCACCATTGCCACTCGATTCTCGGCGGTGCGTCGACAAAGTCCCATCGATCCCAGGTACCACAACCCAAATCCATGTCTACTTGCAAATATACCCAATTACTGCATTCCAGATCAGGCGAGCCGCAGATCATAGATCACGTTACACAGCAGCTGAAAGTGTTCCCGGAAATAGCCACTAGCTTGGCCCTTCGACTGGCCTACGACTACCTCTGGGATCTGTTCAATATGACCTCCAGCGACATAGACCTGGGCAAATACGAGCGTCTGCCCGAGCTGCACGCTCTCTCGTGTGCCTTGAAGGTGATGAGCTCCAACGACTCCGCTGCGGGCATTGAGCGACTGCGTCTGGCCTGCGGTGGTCTTGGCTACCTTGCCTCATCCAATTTGGGCAACCTATATGCGAATACAGTTGCCGCGTGCACCTACGAGGGCGAGAACACGGTGCTGCTGCTCCAGGTTAGTCGCTTCCTGATAAAATCCTGGAGAGCGGCAGAAAACGGTGCTCCTCTTGCGCCCACCGCCAGCTACTTGGCTGGCATGCAGCAAAATCCCGAACTCAAAGTCTGGACAGGCAGCTGGGCGAATATGGTGAATGCGATGCAGCTGGCTGCCGCCAAGTGAGTTGTGGGAGCGATTACCCAATCTTCTATGTGAACATTTTATTTTTTGTATTCATTAGCAAAACGTGTCTGGCCCTTAGGAGTCTATGCAATCGCATGGATAAGGGCGAATCGGAGAAGGTAGCCGCCAGTCACACGGGCATAGAGCTCACCCAGGCAGCTGAGGTACCCTTCCAATTAATCTTGGCAATCTCAGTGACTTATTTCTGATATTTTTGTATAGTTTCATGCTCGAGCCTTTGTATTCCACAATTTCCTGACCGAGGTAACTGGGCCAAAGTCCAAGACACGAACCTCCGCTCTTAACCGCGTGCTGGAGCAACTGCTGGAGCTGTACCTGGTCAATGTTACGCTTAAACACATGAGCGATATACTCAGAGTGAGTTCCAATCTCCTTGCTCCTTTCGAAGATAGCTTCATTTTCGTTTGTTTTACAGGTTGCCAGCTTGACGGATGTCCATCTGACCCAGCTGCAGGCACGGTTGGAGGCGGCGCTGACCAAGTTGCGACCCGATGTGGTGGCCATTGTGGATGGATTCGATTTTGGCGATGAACAATTGAATTCCACTTTGGGCTTCTTTGATGGCAATGTCCTTGAGCGGGTCTTCGATGCGGCTTTGAAGTCGCCCATGAACCGAAAACCGGTTCCAAAAAGCTTTCACGAGCATTTGGGTCCATTTATGAAATCAAACATCTAATATTTAAAATTAGGTATATATCTTTCTTTTTAATTTGGTTTTTATTTAAGTTTATTTTATTGATCGTGCCTAACAGTTTTTATTTTGAATGAATTGTCAACAATCACAGCTGCATTTCAATAACGCTAGGTGGCGGCACTGTGTAGAGCAACAGCACACGCAACCTACCCCAAAAGAGCAAGCGATCAGATTCATAACATACGCATAACTAGCCCAACTTAGACTCTCTTATCAGCAAGACTCTCTTATTATCAAGAGAGCCAGAAAGAAAGAGAGGGGGAGATTCCAAAGTTTGGTTGAATTTCACATATAAGTTCAAATTGTTTGCCAGATACGTCAGTTGTGATCCGCAGCAGGTGGCGAGTGGTTGCAAAATTTGTGAAAAGAAAAACAAAAGTTATTTTTTATATCCTTGTTTAAATATGTCGTCAAAAAGCGTAATTCCTAGTACAGTTAATCCTGATCTGCAAAAGGAACGCGATGCGGCCAGCTTCAGCAGCGAAGAATTTGCGGCCTGGTGGGCGGGCGGTGCAGATAAACTAAAATTTAAGAGAAGCGTCAGTAAGTTTATGTGAACTAAGCCATTCCTTACGCAAAGCTTAATGTAAACAAATCCATCGTAAGCCATACTGAATCTTATATATAACCTGCTTGTGCCCTTTGAATCTCTATTAAATATTCACGATAAATAAATTCAACGATAACCGTTATCTCAGGTATCCGGTCTTAGGTGCAGACACTGCCCCTCCGGTCTGATTCGAACTGATAAGGTCTAGACTTATAAAAAAAAAAGATTTGTCTCCTTCCTGTACACATTTAAGATTACAGCTAATGCTGATTTTGTGAACTTTCCTCACTTTCTCTCTCTCTCTTTCTCTTTGTAGAAGAGTATATGTATACGGACATTGATCGCGCTGAGTACGCCCAGCTGTATTACAAGTCGCATGAGGATATGTGTGAATTCGCCGTCAAAAGCAGCATCAACGTGGCGAAAAAGCTGCGCCAGCTGCAGTCGGAGCGAAATCCTGGAGGCAACGAATACTGGCCGTGAGTAAAAGTTTTCTTATGTGTAAATTCTCTTTTAATTTCTCTCATTTTGCTGCAGCACTCTCTTTGAAGAGCCGGAAATGTGGGGCCTGCACCTGGCTGGCAATCCCTTTGGCGTGATGTACGTAATGGTAGTGAAAGCCTTAAAGGCACAGTGCACACCCGAGCAGTACGAGGAGTTTGGAAAACGTGTAGAACGCTTCGAAGTGACTGCCGCCTATGCCCAGACGGAACTGGGTCATGGAACCTATCTGCGTGGCCTGGAGACACGCGCCGACTTCGATCGCGATACGGATGAGTTTGTCCTCAACACGCCCACCATTTCCTCCTACAAATGGTGGCCCGGCGGCTGTGAGTACTATCTAAAGTGGTGCTTTCTCAATGTCTAATCCTGCTCTTCTTTCAGTGGGTCACAGTTCCAACTATAGCCTGGTCATGGCGCAGCTGTATATCGATGGCGAGCTGAAGGGACCCCACTTGTTCTACGTGCAGGTGCGCGAGGAAGACACTTTCGAGCCAAGGCCGGGCGTACACATCGGCGAGATTGGCAAGAAGATGGGTTTCCTGGGCGTCAACAACGGCTTCTTGGGAATGAAGAACGTGCGCATTCCACGCAGCCGCATGATGATGCGCCACGCACAGGTGCTTCGGGATGGCAGCTACGTAAAGAGCCCTGTGGATGCTCTCGCATATTTTGCAATGGTCTCCACGCGTTGCATAATTTCCCGCAAAGTGGCTGTGCTTCTGACCATTTCCGCCACCATTGCCACTCGTTACTCCGCCGTGCGCCGACAGAGTCCCATCGATCCCAAGTACCACATTCTGTGCCTAATCCAGTTACATGTATAACTAATGGATCTCCTGTCTTGCAGATTACCCGAACCCCAGATCATAGATCACGTTACACAGCAGCTGAAAGTGTTCCCGGAAATAGCAGCCAGCGTGGCATTTCACCTGGCCTCCGACCACCTCTGGGATCTATTCAATCTGACTACCAAGGACATAGACCAGGGCAAATACGAGCGTCTGCCGGAGCTGCACGCACTCTCGTGCTCCTTGAAGGTGATTTCCTCCAGTGATTCCGCCGAGGGAATCGAGCGACTGCGTCTGGCGTGTGGTGGTCATGGTTATCTAGCCTCAGCCAATTTGGCCGACCTTTATGCGAGTGCAACCGCCGCGTGCACCTACGAGGGCGAGAACACGGTGCTCCTGCTCCAGATCGGTCGCTTCCTGATGAAGTCCTGGCGTGCGGCACAAAGCGGCGCTCCTTTGGCCCCCACCGCCAGCTACTTGGCGGACGTGCAGCGGAATCCCGAATTCGGTGCCTGGACAGGCAGCTGGGAGAACATGGTGAAGGCGATGCAGTTCGCTGCCGCCAAGTGAGTTGTGCAAATACGAAGCTAATCCCAAGAGATAACCTATCGTTGTTTGTGTTCCACAGCAAGACACGCATCGCCTTCAACAGTCTATCGAAGCGTTTGGCCAACGGCGAGTCCGAGGAGGTGGCCTCCAACCACACGGGCATAGAATTAGCCCAGGCAGCTGAGGTACGTAATTATCACCTATTCTCAGCATTCTGAAGAGTATATATTCTTGTTTTCTTTAGCTGCATAGTCGCGCCTTTGTGCTCCACTCTTTCCTCTCGGAGATAACCGGGCCAAAGTCCAAAGCGCGTTCGTCTGCACTGAACCGCGTGCTGGAGCAACTACTGGAGCTGTACCTGGTCAATATCACTCTGAAGAATATGAGTAATATTTTGCGAGTTGTCCACTTGACGGACGCGGATCTCTGCCAGCTGCAGGCACGTCTGGAGACGGCGCTGACCGAACTGCGCCCCGAGGCGGTGTCCATTGTGGATGGCTTCGACTTTTGCGATGGGGAATTGAGTTCCACTTTGGGCTCCTTCGATGGGAATGCCTACGAGCGGATCTTCGATGCAGCCTTGAAGTCGCCCATGAACCGAAAGTCGGTGCCAAAGAGCTTCCACGAGCACCTGGGTCCATTTATGAAATCGAACATATAATATTTAAAATTAGGTATATTTATTTCTTTTTAATTTTGTTATACCCTTGCAGAGGAGACATCTGCGACCCCATAAATTATATATAGTCTTAATCAGTATCAACAGCCGAGTCGATATAGCCATGTCCGTCTGTCCATCTGTCCGTCTGTCAGTTTTAGAGCTATCTTTTTGAAACTTTGCAGAGTTGTCTTTTTCTGTTGCACTTAGTACATAGTCGGAGCCAGCTGGCTCGGACCTCTATATCATATAGCTGCCATAGGAACGATCGGTCGAAAATTAAGTTGATATCTTAAGATAAGATATCTTAACCATACTCAGCATTAACTATTTTCCTTTTGCTTCTTTGATGCGGGCAAAGCACAATGAGCATTATGAAAGTTGAGTCTGCGAGGGTATTATATCTTCGGCGTGCCGAAGATAGCCTTTCTTTCTCGTTTTTATTTAAGTTTATTTGATTGATTTGATTTTGAATGAATTGTCAACAAACACAGTTGCATTGCAATAACGCTAGGTGGCGGCAATGTGTAGAGCAACAGCAAACGCAACCTACCCCAATAGAACAAGCGAACAGATTCGTAACATACGCATCTCTATATACATACACACATATGCATACGTACATATGTATGGGAATGCACGTGCTGTTGTTTAATCTTAAAAGCTCTTTGACTGCAAAGCTGTTGCTCAAATAATTATGACATGAGCCCAACTCTCAGTCTCTCTTATCAGTCAGAGAGCCAGAAAGAGAGAGAGAGACAGATTCCAAAGTTTGGTTGAGTTTCACATAAAAGTTCAAATTTTTTGCAAGAATCGTCAGTTGTGATCCGCAGCAGGTGGCGAGTGGTTGCTATTTAAAGCAAAGTTTGTGCAAAGAAAACCGAAAGTTATTTCTTATACCCTTCACTAAATATGTCGTCAAAAAGCGTAATTCCTAATACAGTTAATCCTGATCTGCAAAAGGAACGCGATGCGGCCAGCTTCAGCAGCGAAGAATTTGCGGCCTGGTGGGCGGGCGGCGCAGATAAACTAAACTTTAAGAGAAGCGTCAGTAAGTTTATATGAAAAAAGCTTTGGTAAAATATGTGGCTGTTGCTCTTCTGTACACAAAGCTTGAGTTTAACAAATGAATCTAACGTATATTGAATCTTATACATAATCTGCCAGTGGCCTTTGAAGCATTATTAAATATTGACTGTGATTCGCTCTGATTAGGTCCAGGAACATATAAAAAAAGTATTGTCTCCTTTCGGTGCACATTTAAGATTACAACTAATGCTGACTGTGCACTTTTTTCACCTTCTCTCTCTCTTTTTCTTTCTCTCTTACTTTGTAGAAGAGTATATGTATAAGGACATTGATCGCGCTGAGTACGCCCAGCTGTATTACAAGTCGCATGAGGATATGTGTGAATTCGCCGTCAAAAGCAGCATCAACGTGGCGAAAAAGCTGCGCCAGCTGCAGTCGGAGCGAAATCCTGGAGGCAACGAATACTGGCCGTGAGTAAAAGTTTTCTTATGTGTAAATTCTCTTTTAATTTCTCTCATTTTGCTGCAGCACTCTCTTTGAAGAGCCGGAAATGTGGGGCCTGCACCTGGCTGGCAATCCCTTTGGCGTGATGTACGTAATGGTAGTGAAAGCCTTAAAGGCACAGTGCACACCCGAGCAGTACGAGGAGTTTGGCAAGCGCCTGGAACGCTTCGAAGTAACCGCTGCCTATGCCCAGACGGAACTGGGTCATGGAACCTATCTGCGTGGCCTGGAGACACGCGCCGACTTCGATCGCGATACGGATGAGTTTGTCCTCAACACGCCCACCATTTCCTCCTACAAATGGTGGCCCGGCGGCTGTGAGTACTATCTAAAGTGGTGCTTTCTCAATGTCTAATCCTGCTCTTCTTTCAGTGGGTCACAGTTCCAACTATAGCCTGGTCATGGCGCAGCTGTATATCGATGGCGAGCTGAAGGGACCCCACTTGTTCTACGTGCAGGTGCGCGAGGAAGACACTTTCGAGCCAAGGCCGGGCGTACACATCGGCGAGATTGGCAAGAAGATGGGCTTCCTGGGCGTCAACAACGGCTTCTTGGGCATGAAGAACGTGCGCATTCCACGCAGCCGCATGATGATGCGCCACGCACAGGTGCTTCGGGATGGCAGCTACGTAAGGAGTCCTGTGGATGCTCTCGCCTACTTTGCAATGGTCTCCACGCGCTGCGTCATTGCCCGCAACGCGGCTCTGCTTCTGGCCATTGGAGCAACTATTGCCACTCGCTACTCCGCCGTGCGCCGACAGAGTCCCATCGATCCCAAGTACCACATTCTGTGCCTAATCCAGTTACATGTATAACTAACGGAACTCCTGTCTTGCAGATTACCCGAACCCCAGATCATAGATCACGTTACACAGCAGCTGAAAGTGTTCCCGGAAATAGCAGCCAGCGTGGCATTTCACCTGGCCTCCGGCTACCTCTGGGATCTATTCAATGTGACCACCAAGGACATAGACCAGGGCAAATACGAGCGTCTGCCGGAGCTGCACGCACTCTCGTGCGCCTTGAAGGTGATTTCCTCCAGTGATTCCACTGAGGGAATCGAGCGACTGCGTCTGGCATGTGGTGGTCATGGTTATCTGGCGTCGGCCAATTTGGCCAATCTTTATGCGAGTGCAACCGCCGCGTGCACCTACGAGGGCGAGAACACGGTGCTCCTGCTCCAGATCGGTCGCTTCCTGATGAAGTCCTGGCGTGCGGCACAAAGCGGCGCTCCTTTGGCCCCCACCGCCAGCTACTTGGCGGACGTGCAGCGGAATCCCGAATTCGGTGCCTGGACAGGCAGCTGGGAGAACATGGTGAAGGCGATGCAGTTCGCTGCCGCCAAGTGAGTTGTGCAAATACGAAGCTAATCCCAAGAGATAACCTATCGTTGTTTGTGTTCCACAGCAAGACACGCATCGCCTTCAACAGTCTATCGAAGCGTTTGGCCAACGGCGAGTCCGAGGAGGTGGCCTCCAACCACACGGGCATAGAATTAGCCCAGGCAGCTGAGGTACGTAATTATCACCTATTCTCAGCATTCTGAAGAGTATATATTCTTGTTTTCTTTAGCTGCATAGTCGCGCCTTTGTGCTTAACTCTTTCCTCTCGGAGATAACCGGGCCAAAGTCCAAAGCGCGTTCGTCTGCACTGAACCGCGTGCTGGAGCAACTGCTGGAGCTGTACCTGGTCAATATCACTCTGAAGAATATGAGCAATATTTTGCGAGTTGTCCACTTGACGGACGCGGATCTCTGCCAGCTGCAGGCACGTCTGGAAACGGCACTGACCAAACTGCGGCCGGAGGCGGTGACCATTGTGGATGGCTTCGACTTTTGCGATGAGCAATTGAATTCCACTTTGGGCTCCTTTGATGGCAATGCCTACGAGCGGATCTTCGATGCGGCCTTAAAGGCGCCCATGAACCAGAAGTCGGTGCCAAAGAGCTTCCACGAGCACCTGGGTCCATTTATGAAGTCCAACATATAAACGCTCTTCTTTTATTCGTCAGTTAATGCTATCTCTTCTTGTACATATTAACCTCTTAATTGCTTTGTAAACAGTTTCTTAAAAGATAACATTTAATATTGGCGCTTTTTTACTCTCTAGTTGCGCTCTCTTTGACGCGCTCTCAGCGCGTGCAATGCGCGTAAAGCTTTTCGAGTTGTTGCTTTGCACTTTGCCCCCAAAAGCTTTTTCCTCTTCGATGCTCTGTGCGCACATTGCTCAGTTGGGTTTTGTGGCTCTGAGCGACAACATCGATCGGCTTTTAATTTGTTTTGTTTTGCGCGTGTTGTGAAATTGTAACTGTAAAATGTCGCAAATTAAGAATTTAATACCAACCACTGTAAATCCTGATCTGCAAAAGGAGCGCTCAGCGGCCACTTTTAATGTTGATGAATTCGCCGCCTGGTGGCAAGGCGGAGCTGATAAACTAAAGACCAAACGGGTAATCGGTAAGTGAAGCGCAATACTCTCTCTCTCTCCCTCTCTCTTGCTCTCTATTACGACAAATACATACGTGACCAGCTGCTTGGCAAGTTAACGGTTTGTTAAACAAATGCTTGGACAAGCGACTCGCAGTGCCGGCAAAGTCCATGAGATTATATCAAATATCTACTGCTTTCACGTGTACAAAACGCGTGGCTGATAAGCTTCTAATAAGTTCTTTGTTTTATGAATTCATTTGTGTTGATTGGCGCTTTTATCAGTGCGATTTGTGTTTACCTTTTCGATTGCACTTTTCGATTAACAACAAGCCAAAGTGTAAAAGGCCGCACCGAATCAGACTTTGCTTCGTGCAAGAGTGGGACCAGATAGTGAAGCCAGATAGTGAAAGTGTATTAACTTTTGTACCTTTTATATCTTTAGAGCAGGCCGTGTTCAGCGATCTGGAGGATGGTTATGGCATTAACCATGAGTATATGTCCCACGAGGATCTCTACAACTCGACTGTGAAGAAGGTAGCCGAGGCAGCGCCCAAGCTGAAGGCTTTGCAGGAGAAACTGAACCCTGGCGGCAAAGACATTTGGCCGTAAGTTATACACAACTATTGTATACCCTGTAATTCTTTACCTACGCTTTTACAGTGGCTGCCTTTATTCGGTGCACGCCCATGGCCTGTTTCCCGCCAATCATCCGCTGGCCACGCACATTACCATGTTCGTGGACGTGATCAAGGGTCAAGGCACACCCGAACAGGTGGAGAAATGGGGCAGCTTGGCCGAGAACTGCAATATAATTGGCACCTATGCACAAACCGAACTGGCCCATGGCACCAATGTGCGTGGTATCGAGACGCGCGCTGACTATGATCCCAGAGCTGGCGAATTTGTGCTCAACACGCCCAACCTGGAGGCCTACAAGTGGTGGCCCGGCGGCAGTAAGTGCTTTGCATCCATGAAGTACCCTAATAAATATTAATATTAATGCATCTTCGCAGTGGGTCACACGGCCAACCACGCCATGGTGGTTGCCCAGCTGTACATCGCCGGCAAGCACAAGGGCGTGCAAATGTTTATTGTGCCGCTGCGTGATCCGGAGACGCATATGCCGCTGCCGGGCATTGATATTGGTGAGATCGGCAAGAAACTGGGCATGGCTGCGGTCAACCAGGGCTTTCTGGGCCTGAAGAACGTGCGTATTCCACGCACCAACATGTTAATGAAGTACGCCAAGGTGGACCGCGACGGCACCTTCACCGCCAGCCCCGCCTCGAAGGTTACCTATCTGACCATGGTCTTCACACGCTGCCTGATTGTCAACTTGAACTCCACGCTGCTCTTGCAGGCGGCCACTATAGCCACACGCTACTCCGCCGTGCGTCGCCAGAGTCCTATTGAGCCGGAGTGAGTATCTATGAAAATCGCAATTGGTTCGACTATATCTGACTATCTCCTGTTTTGTCCGTACAGTCAGCCCGAACCGCAGATCATAGATCATGTGACGCAGCGCCTGAAACTGTTTCCCGAGATAGCCACCGGCATGGCCTATCACCTGGCTGCGGAGCACATGTGGGAGCTGTACGATCAGACTGTGCTGGATGCCAACAATGGCAAATTCGATCGGCTGCCCGACATGCACATCCTCTCGTGCGCTCTGAAGGTCCTCTGCACCACCGACGGCTGTGCGGGCATTGAGCGTCTGCGTCTCTCCACGGGCGGTCATGGCTATCACATTGCGGCCAATCTGAGCAACATCTATGGCAATGCGGTCGCTGCGTACACCTACGAGGGCGAGAACACGGTGCTGCTGCTACAGATTGGACGCGCTCTGGTGAAGGCCTGGGCCAGCTATAAGCAGGGCCAGACGCCCTCGTCTTCGTATGCCTACTTCGAGTCATCCATGCGCCTGAAACAGTTTCCCAAGTGGACTGGCTCCTGGCAGTGCATTGTCCAGGCGCTGCAGTACACGGCCGCCCAGTAAGTGTGTGAACTACGTTTGCTGGAGCAAGATTAACATTTGTATTTACAGTAAGACCCGCATCGCCTTTGAGAACTTGTCGGAGCGCATTGCCGCTGGCCAGTCGCAGGCTGTGGCCACCAACAACACGGGCATCGAACTGACACGCGCCGCCGAGGTAAGTTTCAAATGTGAAGCTCTCTGTATCTTTTCACACAACTAATCCATATCAATTATACTTCCTAGCTCCACGGCCGCCAGTTTGTGTGTGAAACGTTTATCGCGCAAATTACAGGACCCAAGGCACAGAAACGCTCGCCCGCTTTAAACAAGGTACTGGAAAATGTGGTGGAACTGTTTCTGGTGCAGACTGTGCTCAACAATTTGAGCGAGATCTTGAGAGTAAGCTATTTGCAGCACTTCCCCTAAAGCTGGCTAATCATGAAATTCCATATTTAGTTCGTCAATCTGACCGATGAGGATCTGAGATCTCTGCAGAAACGCTTAGAGCTGTCGCTGGAGAAATTCCGCCCGGATGCGGTGGCCATCTGTGATGGCTTCGACTTCCATGATCGCGTTCTTAACTCTGTGCTGGGCAGCTACGACGGCAATGTCTATCCACGACTCTTTGATGCGGCCAAGCGCAGCACCATGAACCAGAAGCCCGTGCAAAAGTCATTTGAAACCTACCTGAAGCCCTTGATGAAGGCCAATTTGTAAATGGCGACATGTCAAGGATGGGTGAACAAGGCCCAAAGACCCCTTTTCCACTGTTAAAAGATGCATTTAAAAGAACTTAACTAAAATATACGAATTCGATGACTGAGCATCGATACGGATTTGAATAGTTGAAACAACTTACAACACATTCATCCTAATTCACACTCTAATTTACATCATGCATCTTTATATCTTCACATTCAACGTTCATCTTTACATCTTCGATTTCATCTTAACATATTCACATTCATCTTGACATCTTCACATACATGCTTACATTTTTACATGCATCTTCACATCTTCGCATTCATCTTTACATCTTCAAATTCATAATCAACATCGAGGGAATAGGATAAACATTAGGAATACAGGCATTCTCAGGTAAACTTATAATATTATTTTGTGATATCAAACTGTATTTTCATCACGTGCCTCTTAAGTATTTATGAAAGAGATGTGAATATATTTTGTCGATATCAAATTGTGGGGATGTCAGGAATTAGCCAATTGATTTTAGCCATAAACTAGTTGAACCAGTGTTGAATAATTCGACTTTAGCCTCGTTTTGTAGTGGGATTATTTCCATGTAAGAAGTTATCCTTGATTTCTATTGTGGTTTATCCCTCGCCCAGATTTAAACAACTATTCGGTTTGTTTAAATTAGTTTTATACCGTTTTTATTTAGCAAATCAAAACCAATTTCTCAGTACATTCAGCGCATTTAAAAAACTAACAAACTAAACGCTTACATAATAGCAATAAAAAAAAATTAAAACACATCATGTAAACTTTTTGAAAAAAGATAGAGAGAGTGAGAGGGAGAGTGAGTGAAACAATTTGTAGTACATCTACGAGTACATATGTATTGTATGTGTGTATAAAAAGGTTGCAGATGCGTTTTTTACAGTGTAGAAAAAGTTGGTATTCGTATTCAGAATGCATTCAGTTGTTCATCTTGTTAGGTGTGTGTGTATGTTTACGTGTGTGGATTGCTTTTTTTTTTTTTTGAAATTTGTTTTTCGTGGTATTTTGATGAGACTTCGAGATAGTTTTTGTTTAAACATTTCTATGCTGTCTGCTGTAGTTGTATGCATATATATATTAGTTACATATTAATTAATTAATTATATATGCATTACACATGATAATTACACACACAATTGATTTAGTTGGCTTAATTTTATGCTATTATTATTATAATTATTTTTATAACTTTCTTTTCATAATGAAAATATGGCATATGAGCGTTAAAAGTGAGGGTTCTGCTGGGTTCGATTAACATTTGAACAAATATTGCGGCTACATTTAAGTTTTCTTTTGCAAATGTGTGTGTGTGTGTGTGTGTGTGTGTGTGTGTGTGTATTGGGTGTAGGTGGTTTAACAGTATTTTGTGTGTGTGTATTTTGGGGCAGGAGTTTTAGTTGTAAACTTAACAATAATAGACTTTTGCTATTGCGTGTTGGTTTCTTTTTGTTATATTTATTTTTTGTATTTGCTTGTAAAATTATAAACAATTGAAGAGCGCAATTTGAACGTAAAGCTAAATAAATGCACAATTGTTGCATGCGTTATTTTGATTTTGATTCTAAGCCATGGAAGAAGAAGCAGCTCAAGTTAAGTGAAGCGCAGTAAAAAACGATAAATTAATTTGTTGTTGTTAGGCTGGCGTAACTTAATTAAATTATACAAATTGCTTTAAGATTTATTTCATTTCATTTTTCATTTTCAGTTTCAAGTTCAACAAATATTTTCCTTAAATTTGTTTCTTACTTTTTGTTTTGTTTAGAAAATAGTAGAAATTTGTGTTTTGTTTTGCCAGGAAAATGTTTTACGCTTCGTTTTTGCTTTTTGTTTTTTTTTTTTTTATTTTTTTATTTTCAAGTTTTTTTGTTTCTTTTTTTTTTGTTGTTGTTTAGGAATTACACTAATAATTACATAGTTATGCTTATGTATAATATGTATATAAACTTAAAAACATTTATGCATCGATTTCAATATTTCGGATGTGCCACACAGATTATTTGGATTTTGTTTTTTTTTTAAATTTTAATTCAGGTTCTAATTGGGCTTTGTGGTAATTCGATTTAATTGAAAATTAACATATTCTTATGTGTTTTACAAATTGGCGCTTGTTGTTTTAAGGTTTGTTTTTTGTTTTTTATTATAGAGTGACATCCAATTAATTAAATGTGTGTTGTGTATTCAGCTAACATATAATATTTAATAATATTCAATATGCACGAAAAGTTCTCGCATTCTTCTTCTTTTTCTGCTTCGTCTAACTTTTGCGTTTAAATCTATGTAGTTGCGTGTGTCTGTGTGTGTGTTTGTTAATATTATTGTTATTAATTTTTATTTGTTATTATTTTTTGCTCTACTCATTATATTCATAATTAATTTGCTTAATTTTGCCCGCCCTTATATTGGTTTTGTTTTTTTTTTTCACTATTTATATATTTATTTATATATAATTTTGTTTATATATTAAATTTCGCATGATTTACTTTGCTTGTATATAATATTTGATATTTTGTTGTTGTTGTTGTTGTATTACACAATTTGCTTAAAACTTACTTAATTAGAAAAGTTTGCACACACACACGCACGCACGCACGCACACACTGCTTGTTGTATGTATGTGTGTGTGTGTGTGTGTGGGTGGTTGGGTGTGTGACGCATTTAACTTACAGGTAAGTTTGAAAATTTTCGGAATTTTCTTTTGTTTTTGTTAATTTGTTTTAATGTTACCCCTCACGAATAAATTGTGTGTTTTCTCAAGAGTTGTTTGTTGTGTTTGTTGTTGCTTCTGTTGTTGTTGTTTCTGTTGTTGTTTCTGTTAGTTTGTTGTTGCCACAACTGGGCAAATTTCGCGCAGTGTATTGAGCTGAGCTTATTTCATCGTATTCAAACCCGTGCCAATTGCTGTTGACTGCCACGCCCTGTCACATCCTGTCTGCTGCTCCCATTCCTGGCCCCAGATCAGCTTAATACCTGCGCGCTTGGCCATTATCTCAGGCGTAGAATTCACGGTTATTCGCATTTTTCGCATAGGAATTGTTAGCGGGCGAACGCTTTGGCTCGTCCAGCGCATAGGATCCTTCGTCCTTTTTCCGCATGCGATAAACGATGAACATGACAACCAAAATGGCGCACAGCAGGCCAACAACGGCGCCGCCAATGACAGCTGCAAAAGCGAAACGGATATCACAATTATTGGATACATGCCAGAAGTGGAATGTGTGCCTCCTACTCACCAGCCAAGATGCCTGGCTGCGCAAAGAAACTTGTCGTGCGATCCTCCTCGCTCATGATGACCACCTCCCCGCTGCCGCCGGGCCTGTGCTCGATGATCTTCGTGTCTGTGGGCTGGCTATTGATATTGGTATTCGGGTCCAATTCCTGGACGTTGCTGTTGCCGCTGCTGCCGCCCGCTGCAAAAAGTTGACGGAATGTTCAGACTTTAGTAATGTCTATAACATTTGTGAGATTATGCGAGATATGGCGTGCAGAAAACACAAATAGTTACGTAGTACATTAAACCAGTGTGTGTCCAGTGTGTGTGTGTGTGTGTGTGCGTGTAAGTTCAGTTGTGTGTGTATGTATGTGTGTGTGTTAATGAGCTGAGCTATTTGTGTGTGAGTGTGAGTCTATATAGATGCAATATGTACAAGGCTTTTAGAGTACTACGTTAGTTAGTTAGTTTAACTGCGCTTCGCTACTTTCAACTCAGAGATCAGAGAATTTTTATGGCTTTTGCAACTACGCGAAATTCAATTTATAAATTAATTCGCAGCAAAATATCTGCCCCTGTTATAATCTAAAAAAAAAACTATTCTCACAAATTTGGTTTTTATACCCAACCCAGGCGAGAGATAGCATTAGTTTTTGCCCAAATTTGACCCAGTTGGCAGCTTTTTTGACTCGCATTTGCATAATTTAACTTCAATTTTTGAGAGCTTGAAAACTTTTTCATTTTTCGCTCGTAAACACCTGAATGCGCAAATTTAATGCCAATTAGCAGTTGGCACAAATGATTTTTAATTAATTTAATTGACATTTCCTTTGCCGCAGGGCGGCATGTGTGCTCTTTATTGTTGTTGTTGTTGTTGTTGTTGTTGCTGCCCCGCCCTCACATGTCAGGAGCAGGCCAAATGTTCGGTTGAAACGAGCTTAAGACAAACAAACAAACGAACAAACATATTGCTTGCTTAGCCCTTGTATCGTACTCGCAATGTCAACACAAATACAAGCACGCGTGTGTGTGTGGGCGAGGGCTGCTTCATAAGTGCCGGAATTTAATTAGCGAGAGCAAATTAATTACAATTTATATTGTGAAAACGTTGCTCAATTAGTCTCGCTTTAATAATTTGTATGCTCTGTATATAAGAACTTGTTCATTTTACTTAACAAGCTTGAAAGTCTTTATATACTTATATAAATTATATATTTTGCAAAAACAGTTTACTAAGAAGATATTAATTTGTTTTTAACCGCCTGCTGTTCGTATTTTTCATTGATTTGCCTTAAGAAAAGCTTTTCAAATATCTAAACTCAACCATTATGAAACTATAATATATAAATTGATTGATAGAAAAAAATGTATATAACATTTTCAGAAAACCATATCGTCTTTATCCCAAAGATGTCTATCACTTACGCTATTTCCATCGATCCCTAAAAAATTGTTGGTGCACAGCCGAGTTTTACCAATGGATCTATTATATATTAAACATACATCTAACATGGGAAATACGTTTCGTATAGGGAGTATATACAAAACCTATAGGTAAGTTTATGTTAACTTATTCCTTAAATAATTCCAAGCTATTTGTTGCATAGTCAAAAACCAAACAATCTTTCTAGCTTATAAGTAGTTTCTTGACTAGGAACCAACCCATTTTTTATATAAACAAATATTTTCTGCAACTATTGAAACCGCCCTCGTGCTGACTTGTCAGCTTCCGTGTGCTGGCTAAATACGCGCATATTGAAATACGATTCGCCATATTAATTAGAATAAACAAGGCCCGAGGCATATGCTGTTTTCGTATACCCTGTGAACCTGTTCGGAAAAAAAGCCGATTAATGAGTATATTTCAAGGGAACTGAACGTATTTGTACTCAAAGTAGAGCTCAGGTTAACTTTAAGCCAAGGAAATGTGAGAAAGGTTAAGCAAAGGGGCGTGGCTAGGGCGAATTGCGAGCTGGCTCTATGAATAGTATTTGCTATCGACAGGGAACTGCATCCAGCTTCTGCTGCTGTTGCCTGTTGTCTAATGCAAATCAAAGGAGTTGCAGGAGACTCTTTGACTGTTGCCTGATTGAAAAATGCACTTTGCAACCCCCCTTCACCCAGACCCTCTCCCGCTAGAGTGCTGCTGTGACACATGCTTGTCTTTGTTTGCTTGCGTGCGTGCGCCCAGTTATATTGATGTGGGCGTGGCCAGAGGCACTATAAAACGTTGATTGTCAAAGCCAAGTCACAGACAGAGACACACACAGGCTCTAAACGCCAATGCATCGTATGAGCAACAAACAATGTGGCAAATGCCTCACAAGTAAGCGGCTCACAAAGCGAACGCCAAGGGCGTTGGCGGAGTGTTTAACAGATCGCCGGGTTGCTTTGCCAACGAGTTACCCTACCCCAACGCACCCCAACCCTGGTCCAATACCGGGACAGCCGTGATTTTTCATGTAAAGTGTTTTCCACTCGTTGCCAGTGGAAAATCACAGCGCAGCTTACCGAGTACCTTCAGAAGTTCGGCGCTGTAGAAGTTCAGACAGTAAATCTAATGCTTAGGGCCTGTCTGTGTGCCTGTGTGTGTGTGTGATTGTATGTGTTAATGGAACTTTACAACACACAATTGGGAAGCATGTTGTGCGGCTCGAAAAGCCAGCAAAATGGCAGCCGTTGATTGAGTGGCTTTTCTTATAGCCAGCTGGGGTAAGGGAGCAGCCCAGTCAAATCGATTGTTTGTTTGTTTGTTTTTCGGACTTATCAGCTCAAATGACAGCAATAGTCATTAATTAATCCCCGAACTTTCAATTTAAAATAGCAATAATTCTAACCCATTCTAAAGCTAAAAGCCTTGGGCCAGCTTTAAGCAGCCAAAAGTGCAAGAATGAGTTAATGAATGTGGGCATGAATGTGACAAATGATATGAATGATGTATATATGTGAAAGTTGATCTGGAAAGTAGCTGAAAATTGTAACTTGTTGGATGTACATTTAGTTGATGCTAGGGTTATGTGTGGAGAGAAACTAGACCCGAGACAAAGGACAACGCGTAGAGACGAGAGAAAGTTGTAGAGAAAGTTTGCAGCAGCCGTGATGACCTCTAAAACTAAACTCAATGTGTACTCGAAATTAAATTATCAATCAAATAAAAGCACCGAATATACGACTTACAAAATAAATAAGCTGCCCAAGGGGTTAATATAGATACAAATACATATATATTGAGTGTGTGCATAATAACAAAGGGAATACATAATCAATAGATGGAAATGGAAGACAATAAGTGCTTTTAAAATTAATTAAGCTGCATAACAAGATAATCAATAAAGCAAAGCAATTTGCTAAATAAATAAATAAATACAGCCACCAACAAAGCCGACAACAGTGCAGCGTCAAATGCAAATTTTATGCAAGCCCCGCAAGGTATGCAATTCAATTTGCAAATGTGACGTCATTGCTGTCAGAAGTTTTGCTAAATTGGTAGCCGAAAAGCCACAAAAGCCAGTCGCACACATGAGCTACACTGCAAGAAAATGGCATAGTTTAAATACTAAACTGCAAATTGCCGAAAAAATTGAAATTCATTTGCAGCTGGGTTGCGATTCTGTCAAGTTGGTCCAATTATGATCCAATTGGACAGCATATCGTAGCCCACTTTAATGCCAACCTTTTTGCGCAGTGTAGCCGAGGTCGACTGATTTTTGTGGCAGACCCGAAACATGCCTCAAAGCATAAACTTAAAGCATAAAATAGACAAACAAACAAAGCACAGGACAAAAAAGCAAATAGTAAATAGATAGACAAAGGCAACAAAGTATAAAGCAAGATAAACAAAAGGAAATGCAACGATAACAAAACAAAAAGCACAAAAGATATGTGAATACAAAATAAAACGCAATAAAATACAACAGAAAAACAAGAAGAAGAAGTTGTCAAATAAACAAAATCAAAATGAAAGAACCACTGACATCCGCCGGCTGCGTGGGTCACATCCTTGTTGACACTGATCTCGGTGTAGACATCGTCCTCATCCACATTGTCATCCAAATCGATGAGTCGCCCATCGTCGCCATCCTCGTCGTTATCCACAACCGGCTTGCGCTCATTTGTGTCCACGTTGGACTTGTCCAGATTTGTGTGTCTCGTTTGGCTGATTTCGCTTTCGGGATGTGGATCAACTAGCTGATCATCATCATCCTCGGCATCATCATCATCACCATTGTCATCGTCATTATCATCAGTATTGTCATCACCGTCGTCATCTTCACCATCGCCGCTGCCCGCCTGCGTATCGTCCAAATCAAAGGAATCATCCTCATCCCGATCGGGCAACACCGGCTGCCGGCCCGTTGCAATTGTGGGCGTGGACTGATTAATGGCAGGAGTTGAGGGTGTGCTGGATATGGATGTGGAGTTCGTGGTGCCAGTTGGCTCCGCTCCTGAGGAGATGACAGTGGGCGCATTGTTGATTGGGGGTTTGATGGTGGTGGTGCTTGTGGTGGTTGTTGTTTGTGTTGTTGTGGTTGTTGTTGGTGTTGTTGGTGTTGGTGTGTTAGCTGCTGGATATAAAGATGTTGTTGTTGTTGTGTGTAAGTTATTATTAAAGGCAATAATATGATGGTTGTTGATGTTGTCGTGGTGGTTGTTGTTCGCGTTGTTGTTGTTGTTGCTGTTGTTGTTGCTGTGCTTGTTGCTGTTGTAACTAATTAAAGTTATTGTTGGCTTTGTCTGTTTATCTGAAAGGGGCGCTAGGTTTGAGGTGTTCAAATTGGATTCATTGGAAGTGGTTGTTGTTGTTGTTTCTGTGATTGTTGTGTTTGTGGATTGGTTATTGGAATTAGATGAATTAACGTGGGCATTGGCTATGTTTGTTGTAGTTAGTCTAGCTTGATCTTTACCGATTGTGCCACTGCTGATGATGCCGTTGTTGTTCTGATTCTGGTTCTGATTCAGGTTCTGGTTCTGGTTCAGGTTCAGGTTCTGGTTGTTGTTGTTCTTGGTGCTACTACCAATGATTGTGCCACTATTTGCTTGATGATTGTTATTATTATTGATATTGTTATTGTTATTATTATTGATATTGTTCTTGTTGTTGATGTCGATTTGATTATGATGGTTGACTCTACTCGAGATGAGGTCGTTGTTGTCGTCGTAGTCGTTCGTATTATGCTTACTATTTGTATTGGCCACGTTCTGCACACGCGTATTGTGCGAGCTCGAATGACGATCGGTTACGTCGGCGTCCTCGTCATCGGGTCCAAAGCCAGAGCCAGAAGAATTCGGATCGCTTTCTAGATCATCGTGTATCTGCAAAGAACAGACAAGAAGCGAAAGTTAAATAAGGCATTTCAAGCACAATTCCTTAAGGTAAACAACAAACACACAAAAAAAGTTAAGAGCTGTTGCCTTTGTGGCTAACTCCCATCCCTTCCCTTCCCCGTGGGAGACACTGAGAGAACTGTTGCCCGTCTTTGTGCGGCGCAACAAATGGCAACGATTTGCATTGAAAATTATGCGACTGCCATGTCCTTGACAAGCAGCGCATACAATGGCCACTGTGAAGTGGCCAGAGTGAGGTGGGTATAGTGCTTGTGGGCGTGGCACAATGGGCATACGCCCCCCCTCATACACTGGGGACACATTTATATGGCCATTGTTTGACAGCGAGCCCCAGTGGTTGACTGTTGCGAGTGTTGTGGCTTTTGTGCCGTCAGTGTGGCTTTTGCGGTTTATTTGGGCAGCGCAACAAAACAATCGAAGCACACTCAACCACACACACACACACACACAGACAGAGAGACACAAAGGCACAACAAACTGTGACCAATGCCAATTGTCCTCGCACAGAGGCTGCCGCAATCGACGCTTGTTTATTTACTTTAGTTTTGTCGCCGTTTGCTTTGTCCCCTAAAAACAGCAGAAGACAAAGGACGAGCAAGTCAGGAAGCTGGGAGCTGGTCTCAGATCCCAAGGACTCGGTAGCTCGTGGCAACTTAATTGAATTTGTTCACGCGTTATGAAATGCCAACATGTTTACGTTTATCTTTATAAGTATGTACAAAATACGACTATAACCGAGACACTTGTTCGAGCCCCAACCTGCGGCTCGCTAAATGCCAGCCACAAGAAGCTGTCATTCGCATTTTGGCCATTAAGTAAGCGGTTTAGTCGCAGCTGCTTGGCCATGAGATATACCGAGAATTCGTTGCCCCATCCCCTCCCCCTCCACCCAACCACAACAAACTTGGCTTAATAAATGAATATACCTGCTGCTGAAGAGTTGACCTTTAGCCCAAATGGCGGGCATCATTATCATCATCAGCGTTATTATGCGTATCTCTATCGACTCGATAAAGTAATTTTCTCTGCTTAAGGTTGCGCAACCACAATTCTACACCACCCTGCAAACGCTGTGGATTAACTCAAATTCTTGCTTTTGCATTCCCTTAACGAGTTTCTAGCTTTTATACCCTGCTGCGTCGCTCGTTGGGGTAAGCCGAGCTTCTTTTGCACAAGTTGCATTTATTGCATAAATAATTTTTAGCTTACAAATTTGTATTGGGTTTGGGTTTGATTAGGAAGGGGTTTTTCCCTATGACACACTTCTTTAAGTGAATGCATAAATGATTGTGAATGAATGTAAATTGGCTTTAAAATAATTTAGGTTTTTGAGAACTAAGCTTTGCCTTATCAACATCCCTTTGTTCGGATTGCAGTCATTTACTCATAACTATTTTCGCTCTCCTTTTGCCACGCAAGATCTTGTGAATGAATTAGGCTCTATATAGAAAAAATAAATAAAAATCATAAATAAAAAGAAGCTTCGCATGTCGAAACATTACATGTAATTCTTATAGCTTTCATGCTCTGCCATTTACAGCTTTAGAAAAATGCAGCTTCCCAAATTGAATCCCATTAAGAAAACATTAGCGCAAAGTCCACTGCACGTTGGCATAAAAAAACAAAACAGGGTATAAAAAGGCGGCATCTAATTAAATATACCTTTTATTTTTAGACAGCAGTAAAGCGCGCTCAAAGCTAGCGCGCATGTATTGTAATTTGTTTTGAACACACACACACACACACACACACACACACACACACACACACACAATGGGGGCAAATTGAAAGCACACAAGTCGCCGGCTTAACAACTTTAACGAAAAAATACACACACAGAATGAGAGAAAAAAAAAGGAAGCCAAAACAAAATACAATACAAATTAAACATTAAATGCGCTTATGGCCAAAAATTTGTATTTCGTGTTTGGTTTTTGTTGTTTTTGCTTTTTTTCCTTCGTTTTCCTTTGCGTTTTTCACGCGTTTGTTGCGCAATTTAATTAAAATATTTACGGCGTTTGGAAAAATTGTATTATTGCGTATACGCACTGCGGCCCGCAATTTTAATGGCGCACATAAATTTTCCGTGTGTGTGTGTGTGTTTGTGTGTGTGCGGCACAAATACATATATACTATACAGACAACCATTTGCTGCATTTGCGCATTTGTGCACACAAATCATTTGGTCAAAAGTGGCTCATAAAGCATAACAAAATGCTCGCCAGTTTTTTTTTTTTATTTTTTTGTTATTGTGTGTTGCCTTTTGCTGTGCCCCACATATCCTTGCTGCTCGCCATTTGTCACTTGGCACTTGCTGCTTGTTCTTCATCTGGCTGCACAGTTTATTTAAAACGTTTTTCAAACGCCCTTTTAGCCAGCTTCGCCTGCCCCCATTGCCTTGCCCACCCATTCGCTACGGATCTTGCCACAATGCTCTGTTGCTGTTGCCGCTTGATTTATGCAGCAATTAGTAGCTGGGCGTTGTTAGTGGGCGTGCCACGCCCCCCCCCCCCCCCCCCCCCCCCCCTTTGGCTGGCGGCTTGCTGCAGTCGAGCTGTTGCTCACGTGTGGCTATTGCAACTTTAATTGCCTTGTTGCCGCCTGCTGCTCTTTTGGGCCACATTTGTTGCCTACTTTTCAGCGAACAAACTGCCAGCGAATCGCATTTTCATTTTTGCGGCTTACGCTTACTTAGGCGCCCGCTTTTGGCCATGGCTCTTTGCTCTTGGCTCTTGGCTGTTGGCCGCTGGCCTCGTTAAATGCGGCCCCAAAACTTACGGGCAATCGATAAACTGTTGCAACGGCGGCTGCAACTGTGCGAATTTGATGCAATAAATTGCTTTGTTAATAAAACATGAGCAGCGGGCGAGGCGAGGCGAGGCGAGGCGTTGGGCCCATGCAGCTGATGCTGCAATGTGGGTCATGCATGAATTTAAATGATGTCCTTTGAACGTGCCACCAGCCGTATGCTGCCACCTGCAACAGCAGCAGCAGCAAAAGGCAGCAGCTGCTTTTTGCAGTCCGCTTAATGGCGCTGACTTTAATATTTTTCGCATTAAATTTGCATTTACTGCAGCAGCAGCAACTGCAACAGCAGCAGCAACAGTGGCAACTGCTGCAACATTTGCAGCTGCTGCTGGCTGGGCAACACGGCGTATGCTTGACACCATTTGTGATATATGGCAAAGCGTCTGCTCTTCTGGCCCCGCCACGGCCCGCCCACAACTATTCCTCTGGCAAATATGAAATATGCAAATGCTCACATAAAAGCGCTTTACGCAAAGTTAATATCGAGCAGCTAAAATGTTTTATAGAGTTTTTCTTTGCTTTGTTCTTGTCGAAGAGGTGAAAGCGCTCACAAGTTTAATTTGCAGCTTGCAGCAGTTTAAAGTTTTGTTAGTCAAGCGCGAAAACTTGGTAAAAAACATAAAAAAAAGCTGCAAAGGCAAACAACAAGAAAATTCTCTGTGCCTTAATGAAAACAACAAAAAACAGCTGCAAAATAACCAAAAACAAGCAAAACTTAAAAAAAAGTGCGCAAGAAACGGGCAACAACCTTCAGGCATAATGAGCGCGAAAAACTGTGTCAGCTGAGATGATTTTCCGCGGGCCTAGGGGAGGAGGGGGACGGGGGGCGGGGCGGTTATGCATAAACAACAAGTTGCAGTGCAGCCAAAAAAGTATAAAAACAAAAAAAAAAAACACATGAAAAAAAGTATCATAAAGTTGCGCCAGGTTCGCCAGCAGCTGAGAAGTGCACGTACAGCCCCAATAAAATACTTTTATAGCCATATACTAGGTAGAGCTCCGGAGCTACAAATGAAAAATGTATTAAATTTGGTATATGGGGGTGCACTTCCAGCAATTCGCAACAGGAGCAAGAGCTTTTAGGTTTAGTATGTAGCTTCTTAGTTTCACTTTGAAGGGTGAAAAAGGGGCGAATCCGCGAATACATAGAGTAAACCTTTGCTGAACTTAAGCATATTTATGAGCTATATCTTTTAAATTGCTTACGTAGCTTTTTATGACCTTTATAAATGTATAAACAAGTGAAATAATAAAGTTGGGAGGATGCACAGTAAAGAATTATTTGTCTTAATTATATATGGTTGCTAGAGTTTTCAAATTTGGCAAATTTTGAAGTATTAAGTAATAAGAAGAAGATGCAGCTGCTATAAATTGTGGTCATGTTAGACTCATTAATCATCAGAATTGTAAGCAAAGTGAATATTCTATTACATATTCTCAGAAAACAAGCCAAACTGACCCTTTAAAGTTTATACCCGTGGAACTCGGGACCTATAAGAACTAGACATATTAAATTTGGTATGTGAGTTCTTTAATATCTCATTTCCAATTCTAAGCAAACGCCAACTCGCTCAAATAAGTCTATAATATGATAATCTCATTAGCTTCATTGCAACCTTAATTAAGTATTAAAGTTGGGCCAGTTTGGAGACGATTTTAAGGGCCTCGCATAGCTGACTGCGTATTCTTCTATGTTCTTTAAGCTTGCTTGCCACATTTGGCTCGTTTTACTTTTGGCCTGGGCAAACATTATCCGAGCACTTGTCATGTACATGTACACAAACAGCCCAGTCCCCAGCTTGGTCCAAAAGGGCAACTTGTTCCTTCTGCATAATTAATGCAGGCGAAATTCAATTTTGAGTTTGTTTCTCTCTTCTCTATCCCATGTGTGGGAGAGACACACACAAAAATTGGCCACCCTTGACTCAACATGCCCTGACAGGCTAGGCGCGTGTTGTCCCTTGTACCAACTCCCCTCCCTCCCGCCCCCTTTCCGTTCCTTTCTTTTCCAACTGAGCTCATGAAAAGATTTACGAAAATAAATTGAGGTTAAGCACAAGGCGTTTTCAATTGCGACTGTTTCTGTTGTCTGTTTCTGTTTTTTGTTTCCCTTTCCCTTTCTCTCAGTTGTTGCTTTTGTTGTTCTTTGTTTGGGCCGT